GCCACTCGGCTGGCCCGGGACTGCATTTTTAAACACAGAAGAAACCATAACAGCCATCAATGGAAAGTGACTTCTGAATAAATAAGGTCATTACCCAGCAAGCCATGTAAATGAGAAAAAGTGTCCCAGACAGAGGGAATGCAAATGTACATGTTCTAACTCTGGAGTATTTCTGGCACTCCCCAGGTAAGAGGAGGCAAGTGAGGAAGGGGGGGATAGATAGCAGGGGTTGAGGTCAGAGATGTAAGGGAGGTGGGTGGGGTGTAACCTCAAATAAGATGGAAAGCCATTGACAGTGGAAGGTTTGGAGCAAGTTAAAGTAGCATGCTTTAACTTATTCTTTGACATCTATCCTTTTCTTCAATAAAATTATATTTCAGAAAGGTAACAGAAAAGAATATATGTATACACCGGGGGGTGCCAAAAAATGTATACAAGTGGACACTTTGTTCAGCGTTGCTCAAGCAGTAGTTCGCAATAATCAGAAGTGTCTGGACGCTGATGGGAACCACTTTGAGCACCTCTTGTAATTGCAGAAGGCAAACGGGACTTGTATTCATCTTTTGTTATTGGTATATATTGAGTATTGCAATTTTAAGACAGTTTTCCTTTCTTAAAATGTGTATACATTTTTTTGGCACCCTCTGTATCTCTTTATAAATATTTAAAGCTTTTTACAGTGTCATGACATTATAGAAAGTATAATATGTAAGCTCTATTTTGATGGCATAGCACAACTGTTATGTTGATGCATTGTGCAAATTATTTTTTAATGCTTGCATATTACACATTGCAGTGGCTCCTTTTCAGACATTAAATCTTAAGTGACAAAGAGATACTAACAATTTTGCAGGTATCTGGCATCTAGAAGAAAGAAGGTGGCATGTTATACAGATTTTCCTTTGCTAGTATCATAGTGGAACCATTACAAATCTTATTCCCGTATTCAGTGTTTATATACTATGCATAATCAGATAACGTGTGTAATGCAAATAGAAACTACCGTGTATGCCTAATTCTAAATTTCTGCAATTCTTCCATTTTCATGAAGAAGCAATTGATTAACTAGTATATTTCAAATACTCTCTTCGGATTAGTGCGTTATGAGCATGGCCATTGTGATTACTGAGAGCTTAGTATTATTTGTCTCATGCCGTCACATATTTAAAATTTTTCACACTGTATATTGTTTAAATTACAGCT